GGTTCTTGTCCGCGTGACACATGTGCTGTATAAGCTCTGTCTCTTATACACATCTAGATGTGTATAAGAGACAAGCTGAAGAGAGGCAATGCACCAGCTTAACAGAGACAATGCACCAGCTGAACAGAGGCAATGCACCAGCTGAACAGACGCAATACACCAGCTGAACAGAGGCAATATTCCAGCTGAAGAGAGGCAATGCACCAGCTGAACAGACGCAATACACCAGCTGAACAGAGGCAATGCACCAGCTGAACAGAGGCAATGCACCCGCTGAACAGAGGCAATGCGCCAGCTGAACAGAGGCAATGCACCAGCTGAAAAGATGGTGACAAAATGACCCATAGTAAAAATTCAGTTAAAATAATGGCGATTGCAAATCTAAACTTTGACAGTTATTGAAGGCGACTGTTCATCATCCACGTATTTAAAAACAAATTTGAAACAAAATTTCTAAAAAGTCTTTTGATTAAACAGTGATTTGAATCAAAATCATTTGATTATGTAGCGATGGTTTTTGATGTTATTTTAGATTAGTTGGATAGAAGAAATTTAGAACATCTGGCATTATTATATAATATTGCACATATAATGTACATTCAAAACTTACAATTACATAAGTAAATAAAAATTACACAAAATAATTATAATCTAAACGTTAACAAGAAAATTTCACTGCATCTATCTTATTCTCTCTATTATTGTATGTCCTTTTATGATAATGAATAGGCGTCGTCATTTGGTGCATTAAATCGTGATTTTAATTGTATGTGCGAAGCTAAAAAATGGGCAACTTTCTAGATTTTACTTGGCATTTCATAAACAATTGGCTCATCCTCTATTTACTTTACCGTAGAGGCACTAATGCTTCTGATAGCAATAAGCACACGATTTCAGATATCTAAAAAATACTTCTTATACTCCGATGACTGTATAATGTACAGTAAATCAGTTCCTTTTTAATAAAAATACCGGGAAAAAACATTTTTTTTAGAATAGAAATTATATTTCTTCTTTTTTTTTCATCGTTGAATTAAAATTTTAAATCGAACTTGTTGTGTTAGCTCATATTTTTATGCAATTGGTACCGTTTGAGCCGTTAACACATATATTAAACATTGATAGTAATACAAAAGTTAAGTCATTTCATGTTAGAAACTCTTGAGCATTTATATGCTCACTTCTGCGTAGCTTCGGGACATTCTCTAGATACCGTCCAAGAGTAATCTGCTCTTTGAGGCACTCCATTTACCCTGGTACCGCTTTCCCATCTCAGCCATCTTCAGATGAAAGCGTTCATGTTCGCCACAGAAATAGGGTCTACGTCTTCACAATTTTTAGGAAAGGAATCCAGATGACTTGGAAAGGAATACGATGACTGTGTAGAAAATGTATCTCTAACTACATCTTGGAAAGGAAAGGAATACGATGACTTCGTAGAAAATGTATATCTTACGACATATTGCATCCCAGTGCCTGATATACGAGTCCTACAAACTCTCAACAATTTCCAGACAATTTTAAGCTGTACTTCAACAAAAAATTCCCCACAACAGATTTAAAACTATCCCTGCATGGCAGGTTTCTCATCTTATTCAAAAGTGTTGTCAAACTGAGTGTCAACAATTAACTATCTATCTATATATATGTACAAATACACCTAACTTTATTTTCTCTAAGGTAAACTTTGGAAGTTTGAAAATCAAATATTCAAATGAAGATCCATTTGGATCGAAGGCTTTATATTTCTTGAGGCCGAGTTTTTTTATGTAGAGATGACAGAGAATTTTACTGCACCGGACGAGCGATACATGAATAAAATTCTTGACTCCAGGTTCTGAGGACGTCTCTTTGGCCATCCGCGTTTGATGTACTGATCCGCCCTCGCTCGACTGTTCCACTTGCAGAGAAAGGAGCAGAACTTTGTTCACAAAGGAGCAGAACTTTGTATAACAGAGCTGCAATTCTTGAAGAAGTGCCACGACTTTTAAGCCGCCCCAACCACTGAAATTCTTTATAATTGATCTGGACCAAGACTAGTTTCATATTGTCATATGTAAACTCCAGCCTTGGAAAAGTATTAAAAGTAGAGCCTTGAAACTTTTATCCGAGGTGCATATTAAAAGTCATCATTACTTGTTAGCAATCTGAATATCCATCCATCAATTCAGCCACATTTTGAATAATTGGACATTGTACTGATTGTGTCCTCTTCTTTGTAAAGACATAATCCAAACTACACACAAAAATGGGAATAACTCAGTAACATGATTAGTTGGTTCTCTCTCAATCATGGGTTTCTAAAAATGCTTTGGTTTACCTTATGCATGTAAGAAAGAACTCTGCATTAAAAGAATTATGACTAATCCGAGGAGCCCAGGGTTGTTTTCGACCTCCCAACGTACAATCGAAGTGCAAATGACAAGCTTTTATAATCACCTGTATGATAGAACTTATCTCTGTCGTACAAATGTCACGTTACCACAACTTTAATAGAATGAATCCAGATTATTGACACACTTCCTTGGCATGCCTGATTAAAATTGACGAAGTAATATCGTCATATTTCATTATGGCATCTAAAACTAAGGATCAAACAGCTCAATTTTGTGAAGAACATTCGAAATAATACCACTATATATTTCATTGTTACATCTAAAACAAAAAGGTCAAAAAGTTCAATTATGTGAATAATATACAAAATAATAAAGAATCTTATTACAATGAAGAGGTCAGCACATTCAGTGAAATACCATGAACTTAATCGACATGACCTTAAACGATAACTTGAAAATTAGTGTTAAATTTAATTTTTCACCATCAAACTTGTGTTCAGTTCCCTCTGTCTTGCCCTAAGTTCACCTCAGTAACAAATACACGAAGTTCGTTTAGGGACATCAACACAGAGCGATGCTGCAAGCACCACCTTTGACGGCAACCAAGCTCCGCCCACCAGCGACACCAATGAAAGAAACTGAACTTGCCAAGGCTCGAACCCACGATTAACTCTTCTTATCTCGGTTCCGGCTAAAACTGTTCATACATTGACGCTAACCACTGCGCTATAAAGAATTGTCAATAATCTAATTCGTATTTTTCCGTTACTTAGTTACATTTTCCCCGTTGTACAGAGCAATGTGTAATTATTTTCTGTGTGTAATGAACGCAATGTGTAATTATTTTCTGTGTGTAATGAACGCCTCCCACTTATGATAGAACGGTTAGCTTTTTATCTTAATTGTACTATTATATAGCATATTCAAATAGGGATTAACACTTTTAATCAAAATTAAACCATCACTCATGTTGTCATATATCTTTGAATGTGAACATAATCCAGTCAAAATTAATTGTCTTTATGCTGAAGCGATTAAAAATTTGCAGGATCTTTTTGATTACGAAAAAATGAAGAATTTACCGACACGCCAGGGGCCATACTTTCAAAACTGGCTAAGTGAACGTAAGTACTTACGCTCTATTTTCTTGTCTATGATTGGTGGATTTTGCTCGAAAGACCGTCAATGATTGGCTGATGAACTTACGATCTCTTAACTTTTTTTTTCAAAGTATGGGCCCTGCAGGTTATCATGACGAAAAAAAGCTAGAATAATAACATGTTCAATCATAATAATCCAAAAATTTGCAACGATTATATTATTTCATGGAAAGATTCAGACGCAAGTTTTGCCTGGAGTCATAAAATTCAACCACTATACGGAGTCTGCGGCTGACATTCAATTACCTCATTTATTTCAACGCACAAGTGGTTTAGATAGACGATATTTTCTCCTGGAGTTGATTATAACCACTCGATGCCCACAATAACCGAGCAAGAATTCAGTATATTATTATTGTGCACATATTATTATATTAGTGTAGTTAGGCAGAAGTTCTTCAGTTAGACAGGTTTGATCATTATATACACATATATGAAATATATATAAGAGCAGAGAATTTTTTTTATTGACGATTTTCTTATTAGTTTTTTCAACATATCGAACACTATTTTTCGTTTGCACAGGTAAACCGAAAATCAAAGTACCGATGGACATTTTTATAAATAAAGATGTTTCGAATGTTTCAATCATTCATTATCAAGTAAAAAAGCGCATTGAGTTACGAAATTTGGACCGACATAAGTACAAAATCATGTAAATAGGATACTACTCAAAAAACAGAATTGTTAGAAATAATGCCTAGTCACGAAAATATTAAGATGAACAAAAATAAAAACACCAAAAATCATTCCGAAAATTGTGAAAATGTAGGTACCTAATGTACTATAATGTCATTACTGCGCCGTTTAATGTCGTTACTGTTCCGCTTAATGTCTCTGGTCTTTAATGGAACCTGCCTAAAGGAACAAACAACCTATACTAATATGTAATATATATGTACATTATAGTACGAACGCGTGGCAGCACAATATATTAACCATTAAAATATTGCAAAAATAAGCGAAACGTCAAGTAAATTATACATGTCTCCATTGAATGCGTGTCGATGATAAACTGAATCATCAGCTTAAAAACCTGAGGAATACAAGGAAAGTCAATAGAGAAAGTCGAAATAGTATCTATTGATTGTGCTTGCAATTTTCAAATTTTTGAACTGATGATGGAAGTGTCCTTAATATTTTCAAGCTTTAATATGATATGAAGATATGGTTGAATTGATTTCACTAATAACGATGAAACTAATGATATAAGCAAACTTTGAAATGAAATATAAGCAAACTTTGCTAATGTATTTTTAAAATATATTAATATTCATAAATTTCAACATTCTATTTAACCCAAAGTCAAATGGTTCAATATGTAAAAATTACATTCTTAATAACTTTTTGTCCAACTGCCTTTTGTAGGAGTTATAACAAAATTAATAACCATAAGCAAGCACATAATTTTCAGAAGTTTCCCATCAAATTGAATGTTTCATGTGTGCAGTGACTGGCCATTTGGTTCGGCGTACTGCGTCTTCAGCAACACCGTCGCTAACATCACCATCGCCGCGTCGGTCTTCACTCTTATGGCGATATCATTCGACAGGTATATCAATTGTATAATTATAATCAGTGCTATTATTATTCATTGTGCGCTTAAATTCATTGTGTGCTTAAATGATAGCTTAGACTGAAACCAATCGTTTCCCCATTAAGGTCACTGCTCTCAGAAAATTTCATATATTCGATTTTTCAGACAAAAGGATACACTTTTAACTGATCTCAGTTGACGTCTATAACCTATATGTATACTTTATTGAAATGTCACCCTGTCACTCATGTCACCCTGTCACTCATGTCACCCTGTCACTCTTGTCACCCTGTCGCTCATGTCACCCTGTCACTCACATCACCACCAACTCGCAGCAGCTATGAACAAAACAATAACATATGCATATAAAATATGTAAAAATTGGTAAGTCAACAACATCGGCAAACAAATGAAATATCTAACAGGCTCCACTTCACTGCCCAGTTGGAAAATATCATGGTTGAATTATGACCTAGAAAAACCGTAACCAAATTAAGCTTCAAAGAAGTGTAAGAGGGCGAGTTTTCAGTCTCACCTCTCATTTAATATTTAAGTAAATGAAATGAGGTTAGGTTCGGTATGTGATACGAGCGTTATTGAGAGACAGCGTGAAGATTTATAAAGTATTATTTTATGATTATATACGGCTTGCAGTTTATGGAAACATAGGCTTATGTCTGAGCTTGAACACTACTGTCATCGACTCACTATCGTTCTCTACTACCGACTCTAGTTGACTTTACTATCATTTTAACACGGATAGGAGTAGGAGCTTACGCACGAGTGTTCTCGCCCAATACTACAGTTACTATAGTTAAGTACAGTGTTTTATAACAGACTAGACGAAGCTATGCAGGTACATATGTTCAGTCTTGAAATGCCTAGCACCTTATACGGGCCTTGCAATAAGTCCAGCAGCTATCTCAAACAATCGTCAGTTATTGAAAGATCGATTTCAGAAGGCCGGATCCCTTGTGAATCAAGTCACGAAAAGTACAAAAATCGGCAACAGGCCATGGGCCTATTTCTTCAGTGCCGAAATTATTAAATTCTATATCTTATGAATAGCTGACGTCACAAATTAAGGGCGTGAGTCGCTACCGATTAAGTAGGAAGAGGATATAGATGAGGGAGATTACATGGACATATCCTAATAAAGGAAATTATCTTCCAACATAGAACTTAATAATGAGGAAACTTCCAAGGTCGAATGACATTAACAATCGTCACCTGACACCTTTAAAATAACAAAAAGATCAAAAGTCTTCGATTTTTTCTTATAAAATCAGGAAAGCATTTTATTCTGATCCCATGCTTCAAATTGCATCTCATGCTCTGAGCATAATGTTATAAAAGTCGTAAAAATAATTGATTATAATAGAAGGATAAAGGTCCTTCAGTTCAATAGTACGGAAACCACAAAATGGGCATTTTAAACAAACAAGTCCCCCTCCAGCGCAATTTTAAAGAAATCAAAACTGTGAATATTGAAAAACGCCTTATGGTTTATTTAACTCTACGTTCTACATAAAATTATTGAATCTATACACAATCAACACAGTAGATCGTTATGGTATCACTTCACTTCACATTGCAGTTGAAGGGCAATATCATGTCTCGAAGTCGGCAGCTGCCACGCATGAGCGACTCTTTGTGTATTTGAATGGCCAGAGCAGTCGGTGTTCTGGGCCGAGGTCAAATAAACTATTCATATTGGGGAGCACCGGTATTCCGGGCACTGATAGTCGCATAAAAACGCTAAAGTTATCACTGTTAAGAATGGCAGGATTAAAGCGCTAAAGTTTTTGCTATTGGCAATTGCAGGATTAAAACGCTGAAGTTGTTGCTGTTGGCTATTGCAGGATTAAAACGCTAAAGTTATTGCTGTTGGCAGTTACAGGATTAAAACAGTATAGCTATTACTGTTAAGAATGGCTGGATTAAAACGCTAAAATTATTGCTGTTGGCAATTGCAGGATTAAAACGCTTAAGTTATTGCTGTTGGCAGTTACAGGATTAAAACAGTATAGCTATTACTGTTAAGAATGGCTGGATTAAAACGCTAAAGTTATTGCTGTTGGCAATTGCAGGAGCAAAACGCTAAAGTTATTGCTGTTGATATTTGCAGGATTAAAACGCTAAATTTTTCTCTGTTGACAATTGCAGGATTGAAACTTTTAAGTTCTTAAGTTATCATTGCGTAAAATTGAAGGATTATAATTCTAACGTTTTCGCTGCAAAAATAGTAGGGTTAAAACGCTATACTGTATTTATCAAAGTTACAAATTGCAGCTGTTTGACCCATTATGAGAAAAATTACTTATTTTTCGTAGTTGAAGTACATAGTAGCCGCTGTTATGATTTGGGATGCAGATGGTTGGTGCTGCAACAAACCATAATACATCAGTAGATTATTAAAAAATGTATAAACTCGTCGCGCATTTTCCATCATTTATGAACAGGACTATTCCAAAATTTGGTATGCTATAGAACAAACATAATCGTTACTATTAAGACGTACGACAATGTTCCGTCTGGGATACTTCAGCTGCAAGAAGATTTATTTTGTAAAATCTCCATTTTGCGGCTTTCAACGAATGTTGCCACCAGCAAAGGCCCTAAAATGTGTTCAAAACAGAACATTCTCGTGTTTCACACAGGTCAGGTGGGTTGATATATTTATGTCAACCTCATTTTAGTGTGGGTCACCAGAAATTAATTAGTCTGGATTAAGAAAGAGAATTATTTTAAAGCATCGGGCATTTGGGACGAGCAAGCTGACCGTCTTGACTAGCCTCCCTGACATCTTGCCAGTCCAGCAGCTGGAGCGGCCGCGGCATATCGTCGGCTGGGGGCGAAAAAGCGGCCAATTTATCGCACAGCGATAAAAATAGTTTACATTAGAAAATTAAAACTGAATAATTTGAATTTTCGCAAATATAAATTGCCATGTAGAGCAACGGGTAGCGCAGTTCTTTCAGTTCAATATTACGGAAACCGGAAGATGGGCATTTAAACTTCAAGGTTTATTAGTATATATACTATACTAATAAACCTTGAAAATCAAAGGTGGTGACCATATAATTGAGATAAATTTGAAATCCTCTGTAAAATTAACTTAAACTAAAATTTTAACATTGAAACTAAGGAGAAGAAACTTGTTCCTGAAATTGAATCGAAGCTCATATGCTTCTCTCTCGCAAGAATGAATCCTTAAACATAACTTAACGTTAAATTCTAAAATTGAAACTTCAATTTCCGTCCTGTTTTCGTAAAATGGAAATATAACTGAATCAAATAATAAAAAAAATTCTAAACTTCCTCGAATATAAATTCGCGCCTGAATTTGAAAAGAATTTTATACAGGATCTGTATTATAAATGCCGAGAGAGGTTCCACAAAATCATCAGGTTATGTTCAAATTATCGTAGAAGGTTTAAACTTCAATTCAATCCGTTTATATTACTTACTAAAAGGATTCAGTGTAAAAATTCTAATTTACCTTATTTTTCGTTCGAAATTTGGCATAAAACGTTGATTTGCTTCAGACAAACACTGATCAGTTTTAAACTGCCGAATCCAAAATTAATTGAATGAAGAAGGGGCTCCAGAAATGAACATTTAGTCAATCCAGTCAAATGCGATGCGCATTTAGTCAATCCAGTAGCTTGGGTTCGGGCCTGGTTATTTATTCGTGTAGAAAAATAGCACAGAAAATTTATAGCAGACGCTGCAGATTACTGATCGTGATTACCGGATACTGCAAGGAAAGTAATATACATTATAGACCACGTCGCTCACACGGCTATAAAATTTATAATATTTAGTAATTAAATTAAAGGTTTTATGGAAAACAACCGACATAACATTTCATTGCCAGGTGTAGTTGTCACTATTTGCAAGAAGTGCATTTAAGGAAATTACCGGAAAAACGGTGATATAGGGATAGAAAGTTGGACAGAGAGTTTAAAATAATAGTATTTTGTTTTAATGCTCTGGAAACGAAGAAATAACCTTAAGCTTAGGTTGAAATAAGTGAAACTCTCTAGAAAGGAAATAAAGCTAAGCTTCATTTGAGAAAAATCTTGATGAATTGATTTAACTGAAAATCCTTGAAAAATGCCAAGCTATTATATTGATAAGTTTTGGATTTGAATTTATCACTTGAATTTCATTGAAATTTTGAGGCATAACCTATATCCGACATCCGACAGATGCACAAATGAGTTTGAAAGCGAAAACAGAAACTTAATAAAACATATACAAAACGGCAGGCATGCTAACCAAAATTCAAAGATGCAAGGTAATAATTATTAGGGTTTACTTATTCGATGACACATTGAATAATTGTTGCTTTGTAGACGATCCGGTGAATTAAAAACTTGTCCTCAGGGCTGCTCACTAATAGGTTTACATAACTCAAAACTTTTTACAACTTGTAGATTTGAAATACGAAATTACGGATCGTAACCAGGGGTGTATAATGACCCTGAACTTAGACTCCAGATGCTTTTCAGACAGGCTCTAGAACCCCTTGACTTTGAAAACCCACTTATAAATTATTTATTAAAAGTTAGTGGAGCGGATCAAATTAAGAAAACCTGGTCCATTCACTAATTCACGGTGAAGAATACTGAATTACTCATAGCTGTTAATACGAGATTTTCCTCGGCAGGTTTTCTTAGACGAGTAAGTGGTGATTTTTTTATATTGTACCATGAAAATGAAAATAGAATTAAAAATAATACAATTTTCTATTTTCATTTTAAATTGATAATAAAATATTTTCTTACGGAGCGCATAATGCTTTTACAGAAACTTAGCTGAGCTAAGATGTAATTTTAATTCCTTGCTTGTGTGAAAAAAACACAACTTTTTGCTCAGTTCTTAATTAAAGAGTGGGAACTGAGCTGAATAAAGGCTAATTTAAGTTTAAGTAGTCCGCATCTTGAGACCATCTAAATAAATTCTATGTAAACACTGAGTTAAAACTTTTATTTAGTTGCTCCCAAGAGACGGCATGCGAACGACACTCCTCTACACGAAAATTATTTTATTCCTAATAATTAAACATTTATTATAAACTCGTTGTGTAACATTGAATGCTTTATGGTAAAATTACAGAAAAATTAGCAGATTATTCTTGCCATGACCGACCTAAATGACTTTCCGCAAATGAGGTTCAAACATGAGACGATATATTTTTTGGTACATTTTGCTTTTTTTACGCTACAAAATTTGTGAATTGTATTTTTTTTCTGTGACTATATACAAAGTGATTCATTATAGTAGGGAAATCGGAGATCACTAAATTTTGTCATTGAGCGTGATCTCTTCATCATCCTTTTGAAAATTCGTTATTATCACTCCAATCTCGGAGTGAACGTGAAATAGTCATTATAACCCAATCAGAAAAAAACATAACATTCTGTAGAAACTCATTTTATTCCTGAACATTTTATCATAAAAAATGTCAAGTCAACATCTGCCAGCTTTTCATCTTGCCATGTAGAAATTACTTATTTCTACTGTACCTCGAAACAACCACTTCATACGTTTACATTCAAATTTAAAATTGGGAAGATTGTTTCTTTATTCCTAAATGATTTCTATGCAATTTCTAAATATCTCCTAGCCATTTCTATGCCATTTATTTGCTTTTTCTATGTCATTTCCATGAAATTTCTATACCATTTCTATTTCACTCATATACCGTATCTATGCCATATCTCTGTCATCATTATGCCTTTTTAAGCCACACCTATGCCATTTCTATTTCATTCTTATACCGTATCTAAGCCATTTCTCTGTCATCATTATGCCTTTCTAAGCCATTTGTCTGCCAGTTCTATTTGTTTCATATGCCGCCTCTGTGTCATTTCTCTGTCATCATTATGCCTTTTCATACCATTCCTATACCATTTCTATGCCATTTCTATGAGGGTGATGTCAAAACTAAACATTTCCCGTCCCACATGCTCGTCACAGGTTCATCGCCCCTCTGCCATTTCTATTTCATTCCAATGCCGCATCTATGTATGCCATTTCACTGTTTTTTATATTTCATTCCTATGCCGCATCTATGCCATTTCAATGCTTTTTCTGTTTCATTCCTATGCCGCATCTATGCCATTTCACTGCTTTTTCTATTTCATTGCTATGCCGCATCTATGCCATTTCAATGCTTTTTCTATTTCATTCCACCCCTGCATACTCTTCTCCACCACCGTCACTGTCAAGTGGGTACCGGGACACTATACTTGTCATACCGTGACGTGGGTACCGTGACACTATACCTGTCATACCGTGACACCATACCTGACATACTGTGACGTGGTACCGTGACACCATACCTGTCATACCGTGACGTGGGTACCGTGACACTAAACCTGTCATACCGTGGCACCATACCTGTCATAACGTGACACCACATCTGTCATACCGTAACACCGTACCTGTTATACCGTGACACCATACCTGACATACTGTGACACTATACCTGTCATACTGTGACACCATACTTGTCATACTGTGACACCATACCTGTCATACTGTGACACTATACCTGTCATACCGTGACACCATACCTGTTATACCGTGACACCATACCTGTCATACCGTGACACCATACCTGTTATACCGTGACACCATACCTGTTATACCGTGACACCATACCTGTTATACCGGGACACCATNGTCATACTGTGACACTGTACCTGACATACTGTGACGTGGTACCGTGACACCATACTTGTTATACCGTGACACCATACCAGTTATACCGTGACGTAAGTACCGTGACACCATATGCAGTTTTGACTGCATAACAGTCATTTGTTGTGAAACCTGCTAATTTTTTCAGCAGTCACAACTATTCGTCTTTTCAATGAGTCGCAGTTAATTTTTTATCTCCGTTGATTGTCGCCAAAACTTCTCATGAATCCTCAGTCAAACACAATCAAACACGAACAAACGTGTGAGCTATTAGTAATTAGCTCAAAATTTCCGGTCATTTTCTACCCATGCGTCAAGTTTTCAAATTTTGTTCCAATCCTTGAGACCGGATTTTTTACAACCGCCGTCTCCACGTTGTTCCCAACCGCTGTGACCTCATTTTTCAAATCATCGTGACCAGGTTTCTTCTAACCGCCGTCACCGCATTTTTCCACCCGCCGTGACCGTACTTTTCCCAGCCGGCACGTCCGCTGAAGTTCCTAGCATTGAGAACTTATGAGTTTATATTGTTGTTTTGATTATTTCTTATATATCGGCAAAAAATAACATAACGCACTAATTTTCCACCCTAACGATACATCCAAATTCCAGAGATTATAGTAAATGATTTGCACTTTATTGCCTTCTTGAAGTTATCACCTTAAGTCAATCAGCTGGTTGCAAACCATTCAACAAATAATTTATCGCTTAGAAACAATGTTCTACAAACACTACTGGAGATCTATAACCCTTTAAGGTGTTATGATGAAACACATTTTAAGGTTATACGAAACTCACTTATACCAATGCTACTCCCAGTGAATAAAAAAATATAACTCGATATCAGTACTCATTGCAGTGAGTGACAGAGAGCGCATTTCCTCGTCGACGAAAATGTGAAGTCACGGACGGACGGACGGACGGACGGACAGACGGACATGGCGAGCACAATATTGCATTTTTTTCCATAAATAGGGAAATGCGCTAAAAAAATTAACCATTAATTCTACGGCCCCTGAAATCAATCCTGGTATTTGGGTTATTGATAAGCGTGCAAAACATTCATTTCTATCGAATCTGGTAGCCTAATGTCGCCAAATTGAACAAATTTGTTAATAGAAATTGTATACTACACCGCACATCAGTTTTTAATGACTAGAAATTTAAAAGCAAAGAAGATTCCATAGAAATTTACCATACCAAAAAATAAAGCGTTTTAAATAAAGATGTAATAAATTTTCGTGGAATTTTCTTTGCTTTTAAATTTATAATGATCTTGCGGTTTAAGCAAACGCGTGACATTAATACATTAATACAGATTTTAATGTATTTGAATAATTATTCCTACATGCGAACTGTAAGGTCATCTAAATTTAAGTGGATACTTATTAGAGCTAATGAGCTAATGAAGCTAATGAAGATAAGGAGATGGATTGCTCGCTACCACTTAGATCAATTTTACGCGGGACGTCTAGATTGATCGACTTCGAATGACAACACCAAAGTAATAGCTTTTTTTATCGAAAGTAACTAGCTTTCGATAGATTGATTATATTTCTATAGTAGATAGACTGATTATATATCTATAGTAAAAAAGTTCTCAGATAGGAGGCTTAACAAAATTTAATGTACTGCTACATGGTTTTCAATTGGAGGTTTATACAGGTACGGTGCTAAAATTGTTTAACAGGGCAATTTTGAACTGTAGACTAAATCCAATTAAGATGCTTTTAATCCGATTTCTTTTATTTTTTCCATTTGAGTAATACCATCGTTTTGGGAAAAGTACCGCAAGATGAAATGCCTACGATTGAAAAAATATTCCCTGTCAATGAAGTTTAACTGATAGAAATAATAGGTAAGATATTTAATAATTATTGGTAACAGAATAGTTGCGCACTCTCAAAATATAACATAACATAACATAGTGATGTCGGCGCTGAAGTGTAGGCCTGATGTGGCCTGTCGCCGATTCTTTTCCTTTTCGTGCCTTGTTCACAGAAGATCTAAAATCGTGTCATTGACCGGATCTTTTCATGACTGACGATAGTTTGAAGTAGCTACTAGATTTCCACCGGGTTCGATAAGGAGCTAGGCATTTCAAATCTGAACATATATTTTTCCATAGCTTTATCTAGTCTGTCATTTATCTAGTGTCTAGTGTGTTAAATGATTTATCTAGAGTCATTTCACGTCATTTAAACGAGCAAGGAGGCTGCAGATATCTTCATTTGAATTTATCCTTTCATTAAACCTTTATTCATGAATCCGAATAAGTAAACTTGAAATTCTATAATCAAAATAAGAGTTATCTTTGAAAAATCAATCGTGTGAAGTTGACCCCATAAAATTCGCTCAAAATAGCGGACCTTACTTCTTTTTCAAATTTAATACGGTTAATTCCGTAGTTACCCAATAAAAATTCAGTATACACCCAAAAATCATGTACGAAATTGACAGAGGTGCGGGGACATTAAAAATTGCGATATCAAACAGATGTAATTCATTCCTGGCTTTGATCTGAAGGGATCGACATCGGATGTAATCGAATTCATCATCTAAATGCGTCTGATTTTTTTGCGTTGCGAAATGCGTCACGACGAGGCAGGCGACGTGTTTTTGAAAGGGCATGTGATCCGTCTTCGGTTCTGCAGATAAACATTGAATCCTAATTTGCATTTTCTGGCATTAAATATTCTATTTCATGATGATGAAATAATAATTTTGCTCCAAGTTGTCTTTATATAATTATTAAATTCAATACAAAATTGTTTTTTCGAAGTTTTCCTGGGTAAAGGACATGATTTTTATTATTATTATCATTAGTCGAAAAGGCTGTTTTTCGAAATTTAATTATAAGAGAAAAAATCATATTTTGAAAAAATCCTTATTAGTTTAAGGTAGGCATCGAGGGAAATATCGGGTGAGAATTACTATGAATTTTAACTGTGTAATAATTTTATACATCTTGTAACAGTAGAGAGAGGTCTTTGAAACTTTGTTAGCAAAAATTTAATGGAATCAATGGCACAATGTAAAATTATGATCGAAAATTTTTTTTAAGTTTAGGAAAATATTTTTTTTTGTGTTAGATAGGCTGGAAGAAATTCAGCATTATGAACTACTTAGTTCGTGAATTAAGGAATTAAATGAAACGATTAAAATGCATTCCAGAGTTTCCAACGATGTATGAAACATATTTAACGACGAGAGAAAACTATTCTACGATAAAAGATTTAACGATAGAATGACGATTGAACAGCAATATAAAAAGAGTCTCTAACAGGAGAAACCGATTCAACGACGGAAGCAAAATGATAAACGATAAGGGAAAGAGATCCAACAATAGGAGTATTACATTCAACGAGTCGTGCAACGTACCACTCAACTATAAGAAAGCGAAATTCAGCGAATAGATTGAAGTTTTCAAAGATAAGAGAGAGAGATTCATCGATAAGATAAGTATATATATAAAGATGAGAAAGAAAATAAATATTTAAATATTTTACGATTCAACACAGTCACTCATCCAACAGCCAGGGTTTTGGTTGCAGAATAACGTTTATTGGCCACGCGTCGAGTGAAGCGTGACTGGAAGCAACTGCTGTGAAATCATTTCTCAGTAAGGATATTATGCTTGGCTGGTCCATGCTCAAAAGGTTTTTCTTTGACGTCGGTGGAATTAAGTGGATTGGCTTATTTTTAAATAATCAAAGCAAGTTCAATCAGGCGTTTTCGATCGTATAAGGCCATAGGTAAAGCAAATAAATCAGATAAAATAGCCTTTAACGCTTCACAGTCCAAGGAAATTTTAGATATACGTGTGAAAAAGCAAGTTCAATCAGGCTTTTTCGATCGTATAAGACCCTGGGGAAAGTATATAAATCAGAAAAAAGAGCCTTGAAGCTTCACAGCGCAAGGAAATTTTGGATTTAAGTGTAAAACAGAAAATGATTTTGGAAATTACTTTTTTGTGAACTTGGCATCGTGTGAGTTTGAAAGCTTGCCTAAATTTGACGTAATTCACAGGTGCACGTGTGAACCGGATAATGTATATTGAATTCTGTGGTAGAAAGATTACCCACATTTAAAACAAAGTCTTCGCACTAGAGAAAATATGAAAGCTATGGTCGTCTCAAATCGTGAACAGACATTACTTTTATAATTTCCTTTTATCGCAGGAGAAACAAAAAATCAATAGGAGAATTCAACAAAAATTACACGTTTAATGTATAAAGATCACTTTCAATCATGAGAAACACTTAATTTTAATCATCATTACGAGAAATAAGCATATCTCAATCGAAAACACATGTATGAATGTGAATGTTAAGGTAAATATGACTGTATTTCTATATATCGGTTATGAATATTGAAACATTTGATGATTCAAAGAGTCTAAAGATTTAGTAATTAACATTCAAGATTATATATTCTAAGGATAGACTTGCCTATTTTTCCACTTACAAGTTATTAATATTTAAATATTGATGACGCAGAGCCGAAACATTAAGACTGTATAGGCCTTCTAAGGTTATGCATGCCTATCTATCCACATATATGTTACGAACATTTAAATATTAGATGACGCAAAGAGGCTAAAATTCCAGACTCTAGGGCCTATACTTTCAAAAAAAGTTAAGAGATCGTAAGTTCATCAGCCAATCATTGACTGCCTTTCAAGCAAAATCCACCAATCATAGACAAGAAAATAGAGCGTAAGTACTTACGTTCACTTAGCCAGTTTTGAAAGTATGGCCCTAGGTCTATAAAGTAAATTCCTAACCTGTGCTGATGACTAGGGCGTTTATGGAGCCACAAGAACTAATTCCGCGGAACTAGGATAAGCGGAAACGAAAAGATTGGTTTTGCTGACATTAGAAAATTGGATCCGAACGCTCTTGTCAGCGTAAAAAAAATTGATATCGGGGTTGCCAAACCTTTAACCGGTCTCCAGCTCAACGGGGACAAACGATGTGCTTGTTTATAAAAGTGTGAATAAAATATTTGTTGAGAATAATATTTTGATAATTTCTCTTCCACAATAATTGTTATGTTCTCACGTACAAAAATATGAATATATGTTCTGGTCAGGGTTTTTTTGCACTAAATTTTTCTCAATACTTTTCTATGGATACACTGTAAAAAATATTAGATTTTATTCTACCAAAGGTGAATCTTAGAATATTATTCAGCATATTTCAGCATTTTCTGCTGGTGAATAATCTCTAGAAGGGCTTTTCAGCGACTCGATTGTCGCCAGCTACCTGATTCAAAAGAAGACACAGCAAAAAATATGTTTTACTTGTCACATCCTTTGAAATGATCAGATATGAGGTCCGTGTTTTACAATGGAAGATTCACTCCCAGAAAGCCTGAGCAAGACGAAAATGTTAAAGAGAAATTATGAATTGAATCTTGAATAGATTTTATTAGCCATTTATTTGTCTCTATGAGTGATGGAGATTTAAACTACATGGATTATGCTACCAAGTCTAATTCTGTTGTAATGAACACAAATCTTGATTCAAAGTGCAAGACTCGATCACGCGTTAATTATTTAGATTCTAAAATAATCTACTTGACACGCGAATCACTATAAATTAAGTACTTGTATATTTAATGAATGTATGATCTTTTTCCAATAACATTTTTATTAGTTAGTTGAATTGAAACTGTATCGGCTGAACGATAAGAGAAATTTTGATTTGTCTTACCAATATCTATAAAATCATCCACTATATAACTGAGATTAATACACTTAGAGAAATGAGTGAGATTTTGTCTAAATAACGATGTTGGATTTTGTCTAAATAACGCCTTTGTATGGGTCGTCATAGGCATAGCAAATACTGTTATGCGTAAAAAGTGTGTCATTATTTGGACAATATGACCAAATTATTTTTCTGAGTGTAAAGAGAGAAATGTCCGTCTAATGGTGGAAGCAACTAAGCTGCTTGAAGGCGTTCAGACCATCACTTCACGGCTTCTACCATGCAGCTACGATTTGAGACTAATTCTTTTTCACCTGAGCAATTTCAAGCTCAAATTTCCGAAATTAAGCACTAAAATTTTATTTTTCTAAATCAAAACTTATTATTTATTTTAAAAAAAGAATTTTTATTTTTTATTTAGTATTTATTATATTATTTTTTATTTTTATTTTTTATATTATGTTTTTATTTTTATTTATTACGACTTCGAGCTGATATTTATTTAATTTGAAAGTTAAATTTACTAAATTTCAAATTCAACTTTGTTAAATCTTTAACTTCTTCTTTTCAATTTACGAGTACAACAAACTTATTTCATCAGTAAAAAAATGCGAGGATCTCTTCAGTTTTTGGCGACTGAATTTGCCGGTTCTGCAGAGGATCTAAAATGGAGGTTAAAACCATAGTTAATTCTTATTTAAAAGCTTTGAATGTATGCGGGGAAAGTAAACACCTATTAATTTGGGCACTAATTTAGCTGAAGATTCTGGGGTCTCGTTAGCAAAGGTTGAATTCCATTGAATTCGACAAATTTTTGCTCGTCTAGTATCATGTTTTTCTTTTGCGTTATGAACACCTGAAATCATCTAAAAATAAGATTTATTAATTAACATTCAAAATTATATTAAAAAACAATTTAAACTCTCACAAATGACTGCTATCATCTCCATTCATTAATTTTGTTGTAATTTTCGGATGAATTTGTCAAGTGAATTTATCTAAAAATAACCTATACTGCAATTCGAAATTTCATCTCATTTTATTTATGGTATCGAATTTACTAGCCCCCGAATATATATCCGCGAATTTAAGGTAATTTACACTACGAAAAATTGTTAGCCGAAGCCACGACTAACAATTTTCTCTGCCACGTGTGTTATTAATTAATGTAATTGTAATGTGCTGGTGTAATTAATGTAGACCTTGCTTTTATACGTATCATATATCAGAGAGATAAACTGCTATAATGCAAGAATATTTCCCAATTAGTCATTACGCGCTGGATCCTGAGAGATGACTTAAGATTTCCACACACGGGTTTTTGCTCGACCACAATTCTATATTACAGAAAATTATGAAAGCCTCCTCTCCTGACAAGTCAGTTAAGTTTACAAATTCGCATAAAAATCGATAAAATGTCATGCATTGGGTGATTTTTTCTTTTTCTTCAAATTTGAGTTTCCGGAACCATTTGGTCGTGGTTTTCGATGGCCGTGAAAATGCTTGTTACGTCGATACTTAAATTTTACGACAAAAAACCGTAGTAGAGTTTGGACGGCAGTTCAATCTGTACATTTTCTGAGACCGTAATTTATTTGATGTTCATGATTAACTGGTTAGATTAAGGGAAAGGTATACCCTGATATCGAAGAAATTGCGTTTTTTGTATTTTTCATCTCATTTGTAGACATAACTTTAACAAATCGAAAGCAGAAAACAAAACTAATGTAGCTGTTATTTTTTTTCTGAGACGCTTTGAACTTCCTTAAAATGACCACTCGTAATCATTGTTTATAACGATTTCTTCTATTAGATATATATTTATGGACCATTCTTCACGTTGATTGAACTGTTTTTACGCTTATTTTGTAGCTAAGGAAAAGACGCATCTTACGAAGTTAACTTCATTGGTGTGCGGGCTTTGGTTTTTGCATTAGGCCGTTTTGAACTTATAGAAAATGACCCATAATAATAATACTACGTATTTACATATATTAATTAAAAAATACTATTTATTGATCATTATTCGCGCTAATTGCCATTCTCATTTCACAAATTCATTTTGAAGCTGCAAACAAATCTCACTAAATGAAACAACTACCATGGATATACATGCAATACTTTTTGCGTAAGGCTGTTTGAACTTATATAAAATGTTTATTATATATATAAATAAATATATAAGATAAATCACATATATAGCTTAGTAATCGCGTTAAACTGGACAAGAATAAGTTTAAAGACGCGTGTTGGTATCTACAATACGAATAATAGGCAATAGCTGGGGCTGCAGTATCAAACAAATTTTTTTAGCATTTTTTCCTTTTTTCGATATATTTTATTTATTTTGCACCCCTAAACTTTTGAAGTTGCAAAAAAAAGCTGTCTTAAAAAAGTGTCTTCTCTTATGATTTTCAAGCTACGGCATTGAGAGACATAGCATTCGATTTGTAAAAAAATATCTAGCTACTCTAGAAGCACTTTTTTCTGATTCGTCGATGGTTCATATTATATATTGAAAAAAGCGTGGGGGTGGTAGTGAGGAAAAATGTTTCGAATATGAAAAAAGTCATGTGCAAAAGTGAAGTAAACAATCGAAAAAGTACCTTCGAGAGTCGATAGATAAGCTGTGTACAAATATAATTATATGTTTCTCGGTACTGCAGGCGATTGAATTGAATGAGGCGATAGATTTATAATGGACTCCCCTTTTAGCCGTGTTCTATGCATTTCACGTTTTCTTTCGTTTTTCAATAAATTCATGCAAGCAAATGTTATTTTTAATGATTAAAAAATTTAGTTTAGGAGATAATTTTGATGTTTAACCCTCCCATTAAAAGAATATTTTGCTTGTTATACAACAAAACCTTTAACTGCCGTGCTGGGAATAGCCAATTACTGAATAGTGGGGAGTGAGGTAGTTTCAATAAATATGAGACGAATAATAATAAAATCGCTTCTGAAACAGAATAATAGCGCGTGAATCAGAATTTTATGTAGATTCCTATTTTAATTTGTAATTCCTATTTAAATTTAATTATAAATTAATTTTAGTTTTTTATTTAATTTCCTATTTCATTTAAGTATTTAAAAATTCATATTTTAATTAGTTCAACAATTTAATTAATGAAATATCGTCGCAGGTACGCAAACGATGAAGTACGACGAGGCTGCGTCCTGCAGTGGCCGGACGGCCGAACCAACGCCAGCCAACAGGAACACATGTCAGTCCTTAACAGTATATTATATTATATTATATTATATTATATTATATTATATTATTGTATATTATATTGTATTATATTAGATCATATCATATTATATTATACACAATTAACAATAAATCTATGTAATATACATTTATTGGTTTATTATACATATACATATATCATAAACATATAATAGCCTCTGAATAAGATGCAGGTAGATGAAAATACAAATAAATTTATAAATAAATTATTATATTTTATCCCGAAGAATGAATAAAATAGCAATAAAAATTTTCGGTGGACCGGTCAAATTTTGAAAGCTAACCTGATTCGGAATTTCTATTCTCAAGATCAACGCATAAAAATGTCGTAAGTTATTTTTTGGTTAATAATTTGTCTTTGAACATGAGATCATCAATTGTTAAACATGGCAATAATTCAACGGTTAACACGATTACTCTCATGCCAATGGGCTCACTAGCTTCTTTTTCAGAGAATTTTATTCACACAAGTTACAGCTAAGGAATCGAATATTGCACGATGCTTAACAGTTAAATGTATTTAAACCATTCTACGCTCTTGATAATATTTCAAATGCAATACTAGCATAAATGATGAATTTTCCGGGAAACCTAAAACCCTTTGCTTAAAATGAAAGACCATCTGCATGAACAACACCAACCTGGTGAAACTAATGTTTCATATTGAAATTTAGATTTCACATTAAAACTTAGGTTTCATACTGAAACTTAGATTTCACACTAAAAGTTAGGTTTCATACTGAAACTTAGGTTTTGCACTAAAACTAATGTTTCATACTGAAACTTAGGTTTTGCACTAAAACTAATGTTTCATATTGAAACTTAGATTTCACATTAAAACTTAGGTTTCATACTGACACTTAGGTTTCATACTGAAACTTAGGTTTCATACTGAAACTTAGGTTTCATACTGAAACTTAGGTTTCATACTGAAACTTAGGTTTCATACTGAAACTTAGATTTCGCACTGAAACTAATGTTTCATACTGAAGCTTAGATTTTGCACTAAAACTAGAAACCCGAAATAGAAATTCAATATCAAGGAAGTTCAGGACACGCAATTCGCGGCCAGAATAATTCAGTGGCCACGTATCCCAACCAGCAAGTTATCTTCAAAAACTTTCGTTTTCATGAAGGTCTCTCTAGAAACTTTGGAAATTTGCCGAGTCATTCTTGATATATCACAGAATATCTTCCTGATTTTAGAGCTGGGTAGCTGAAGTATATTTTCCATTCGTCAGGCCTGGAAACTTGAAAATTCTTACGACTTATATGTATCATATTCTGCCAACGATTGATGTCTTTTTGTGTGTTTAATGTGTTTAATGTGTTTAATGTGTTTAATGTGTGTTTGTGTGTTTAATGGGTTATGTCGGGTTACTTTTAAAAATCCCATATTCATCTCGAGAAATTCTCCGATCCCCCATAAGCCTGAGACAATCCACGATCCTTACTCAAACAAGCTACCCAATCTTTTGAAATATCCTTGCACAATTACAGCTAAATGTGCGTCTTACCCAATTAGTACTAATTGTGCAAGTAACTGCAAACGGAAATTTATGCTCGTGACTTAATATTTAAAGCTTAGAGGCAAAAATTTTTTACAATTAAAGTACCGGTACGGGGGAAGAAAAAGGATAGAAAATTATAATTAATCAAAATATCATGGTAAAATCAAATTAACGATATTTTGATTATTGATTAAGATTTTGGAGAAAGAATAGCATCTGGCTCGATCGCAAGATAAGTTTTTTTATTCCATTTCATGGCTCTGCTACCGCGATAATTTTGTTAATTCTAATCTCATTAATTAAAATTTCATTATACTTACTGCAGATTCAACATCGTATTCTTCATCACAACATACCTGGTGCCGATGCTGGTGATGTTCACGAGTTATTTGCTCATCAGCATCGAGCTGTGGGGCGGCAAACAAATTGGTGAACTTTCGGAGCGACAAGTGAACATCATCCGATCTAAGAGGAGGGTGAGTGAACATCATCCGATCTAAGAGGAGGGTGAGTGAACATCATCAGATCGACAATTAGTTTAATTTTTGGAGCCACATTTAATCTAACACGAGCATGAAAACTTTTCTATGCCTATTTTAATACCGCAAAGCTACTCCACAGAAAAAGTACCCAAACGAGTATTATTCATGTTTTTTAAACATTTAAATTTAAATGCTCGGGTTAGTCTGTCAACAAACAAGCTGCTCCGCTACATATCTCTAGGCTGTATATTTTCACGCCTCCTAATTTTATACGAGTATATTGCTAATTCAATTATACATGTACGTGAATATCGGCATACAAATCTTATAGACGACTTACAGTAGCCAGACATGACAGGTGGTTCAGATGTTGATGTACGTTATTCAAATCAACAGATGGTGCTGATAACAGGGGTGAATTTTTAATCAGCAGGTAGTGCAGGTTCATAAATAACATGATTAATGCAGCAGATAAAGTTTTTCTCAAAGTCCGTCTTTTGATTCAACAGCTAGAGCAAAAATAAAAATAAATAAAAAAGTTTACTAAAAAAATTAATACAAAAAAGTTAAGAAATAAAAAGTTTATTAGCTGGTGCAAAAATAAAAAGAAATAGAAAGTTTACTTAAAAAATAATAAAAAAATAAAAAAAAAATAGAAAATAAAAAGTTTATTAATTAATTTCACAGGTGGTGCGCATGTTCATCGTCATCGTGACCATCTTCGCGCTGTGCTGGCTGCCCCAGCAGGCGTTTTTCCTGTACCAATATTACAACGCCCAGCTACTGGACACCCAGCTGGTCCAGCACGTCTACCTGGCCTTCTACTGGCTGGCTATGGCCAACGCCGTGGTCAACCCATCCGTCTACTACTGCATGAACGCTAGGTGAGACATCTACTATCTGTCTACATCTACCATCTGTCTACTACTGCATGAACGCTAGGTGAGGCATCTACCATCTGTCTACATCCATCTACCATCTGTCTACATCTACCATCTGTCTACTACTGCATGAGCGCTAGGTGAGACATCTACCATCTGTCTACTACTGCATGAACGCTAGGTGAGACATCTACCATCTGTCTACTACTGCATGAACGCCAGGTGAGGCATCTACATCTGTCTACTACTGCATGAATGCCAGGTGAGGCATCTACCATCTGTCTACCACTGCATGAACGCCAGGTGAGACATCTACCAATCATCCAGTGCATCTGTGTCCAAAAATTTCCAAAAACAAAAATCATTTAAAATCCCACTTTAAAATCATTCGTTAAATCCCATTTTTTATTTACTTGTGAATTGTTTAACCGAGATATTTTCCCTGTTTTGAATTTAATGAAAAACTACCACATGTCTCGCAGGTTCCGCGCTTATTTCCGTGAGGTGATAACGAAGTGGCCGTGCCTGTGCTGCCTCTTCTGCCGGCGCCGCCGCTGCGCCGCGTCCCCGGCTCTGACCCGGCGCCTCCCCGACCATGACGCGTCAACGCGCTCCAGATCTGGTGAGGATACGGTGGATTCGTAGTTTAATTTACGATGGTAGTATTATATCTAGGGCAAGTCGATGGTCGTAAGGACACGTAGCGCGTAAGTACACGTAGCGCCTTTAGTACACTTTTCGTCCTAAGTAAAGGCTGCGCCCTAAGTTTACGTAGCGATGTAAGTCCGCTAAGTAGCGGACTAAATTGGGCCCAGAGTGTATGTAGCGTTTAATTTCTCGTCTGTAATTGGTGGGTATATATTAAAAAGCTGGAGGACACTCCAATCATTGACTCATTCACTATCTGTTATACTTTCACATAGGAGCCATTATGACAAAATTTTGTTAAAATATTTACTTCCAATAAAATAATAATGTAAAATTCCAAGGTTCAAAATCAGCTGTTATTATTTATGTATGTTCATTAATTGTTTGAAGGATTTTCTTTGACAAAAAAAAGGTTAAATTTTGCACTTTATAAACTTACAGAGATAAGAAAGAGATGAATAAATTAAATGTTAACGCGAACATAGATTGCATTGAAGAAGTGCACCGGTCAAACTATTGCGAGTTTTAATGATTGCACCAGAATGAGCAATTTCACGTAATCAAATGTCGCTTAAGAGTATCAAAGCCTTATAATTGTAGGAATCATTTGCATAAATTTATTAACCCAAAACAGTTTGAGAGTTTAAAAATAATTGTCATGAATTTTTATTTTTTAATTTCATTTCTGGCAAACATATTTCCAATCTGTACTAAAGAATACATATAAAGAAATTTTTGATGATAAATAACCTTGTGTTGATTGTGTTGGGCAATTATATATATAATCTTCCCGCGCAGACCTTACAGCTAATTGGACGTGATTGAATATCGAGCTTTAATTGTATTATTTGAAAAAAAAATTTTTCACGAGTCGTTCGTTATTCAAGGTCCCGATATGAAGCGAGGATGTGAAGGTTTTTGTGAGTTAATAAGGATTTAGTAACATAAAAGGTATTATTATCCCAATATGAGACGTCGAAGTGAATATTTTACATTTCATAAGGTTTTTTCTAATATAAAACTGTTTTGATATAGCAATACAAAAGTTCCTGTTTCATGAAACTACTCAGTGATAATTTTTACCGGAATTCATCATGTTTCAGCTAAGATAACAAGGTTTTTAATACCATAATGAAAAGTTATCGTTTTGTCTCGCTGCTGTGGAGGAGCGAATCTTCCATGTACTCACATGGGTACAGCTTGTTTTCTATCATCTTTATTCATTATTTGGAATTTATTCTTTTAATTCTTTTCTATTTATATCGATTTCATTCCATTTACGGGGGAATAAACTAAATTTACATAATTAGATCATACACATTCAATTCCACGAAGTCAGTAGCCAAAAGTAATTGTCGAGCCAAATACGTTTAAGGGGACCCACTACCCACTATATTACACATTTGAAATACAATGGCTGCCCATTATATTTTATAATTATTATTAGAACACGAGGCCATGAATATACATATGGTAATGCCTCTGGCAGATGCCAGAAAGTCCGCGACTGGAATTCAAATCGCTATTAATGAGATATTTGAGGAATTTCTCATTTCGGGAATTTCCCATTTCATGAATATCACGTTAGTGAAATTAAAAACTGTTGGCGCAGAAAAATATCTATAATTCATTTGCTTTAAAATTTCACGGAAACTTAACCATGACAAGTTTTCAATTCTAGCTTTACATTGTTAACTGTGGACGAAATTTACTGTGGACGAAATTTTTCGGTTTTACAACCATAAACGTGATATAATTGAAAAATTTATACATACTTAATTCATTTCAATAATTCATTGGTGTTTTGCCTCACTCAGTTGCAATTAGAAACTCTAGATACAATTTATAATAAGGAAGACGATTACTATCACTAATTTATAGCCGTGTATATCATTTCGAAAATGTAGGATTTTAATTATTGTTGGTGGTGCAGTTATTTTTCGTAATGAATGTTTTGTCGAAAAAAAAACAGTAAATATTTTTGCGGAAGAAAAAGACGTATTTGGACGGGAAAGAGCATAAATACTGCCACGACAAAAAACGATCGGCACTTAAACGTAAGAATATCTATAAATATTTGAAGGGTAAATAGTAATAGGCAGTTAATTTTAAAACAACGATTAAATTTTGCCGAAAAATTACACGAGGGACTTGGACGGAAAAGAACAATAAAAATTTGCACGGAGAAGACCAGTGAATATTTTCACATTAAAGCACTTTGACGGCAAAAGGCAATTAAAATAGAGAGTGTATAGAATCATTACAGGTTACTCTTCGTTAACTTAATAAGAAAGCTTTATTTAAACATGTCCGACAGACCGTCGATACATGAATATTAGTCAAAGACATGAAATTACATTTTGCAAACATCACAAAATTTCATTTTAGAAATATTTCATATTCAGCGTAAACATTTCCGGCGCATAACTCATCATTCGAGCTGCTTGCAATCAGACAGAAAATGAGAGGGATAATAGAGGGCCATGACACTTAATTTTTAGCGCATTTTCTAATTTATGGAAAAAATGCCTTATTGTGCTCGTCATGTCTGTCCGTCCGTCCGTCTGTCTGTCCGTGACTTCACGTTTTCGTCGACGAGAAAATGCGCTCTCTGTCACTCACTGCAGTAAGTACCGAGTTAAATATTTTTTAATTAGTGGTCACAATGCAGCTCTCAATGCCTGCCTCTTTCAAAGTCTAGGTCGTTATGGCATTTCAACGCGAAACGAATCTTCCTGTCATGAATGGAATGGGAAGTTCTATGTTCGCAGTGATGTGCAATGAATATGGTTTTGAAACGAAATTGGAACAATGAATCTTCTCTAATACTATAATCCAAAATTTAAGAAGTGAATGTTTTCTTATCATCTGAATCTAAATTCAAGAAATGAATGTTCCCTTACAATTAGGACCTGAATTCAGCTAATGAATTTTCATTTAAAACAACTGAAATTCAAAAAAATTAATTTTATCTCTTGATCTGAATCGCAATTCGATGAAAGAAGGTTCTCATTTAATGTAAACCGAAAGTAAGGTAATGATTTTTTCCATGTAATCTGAATCGAATTCATGGATTGAATGCTCGCTGGTATCCTGGATCAAAAACTATGTCCTTCCTTACTGTAGTGAATTTACAGAAGCTGTATCACCTGTGAAAGATTATCTGTAGATTTGCCCGAGTTTAATTTAACATTCGAATTCACACGATTGTTCTTCGGTCTATTTCAACCATCATAAGCGGATACCATACCACCAATTCTGTACAACGTTAATCTGGCGTTGAATATCAACAAATTTGACGTTCGCGCTTCACCGTTAGTAATTAATTGATCGTATTATTCTACGTTAATTTAACTTGAATTTTTAATGACTTGCTGGAGTCATTTTTTAAATCGGAAGCAGAAGTCAGGCAGGCGGTGAAAGTAAATCAAAGCCTTATTTACTTGAAAAATTTTTTATTAAATGGTTGAACAGTAAACAAATTGAGCAATTAAATTTTTTAGACGGTATTTAAAGTAATTTGTGCGGGTAGATTTAAAAGAATTATTATGAGGTGTTTACATTTGATTATGTTCCAAATTAGTATTGGCATCAATTTTGGCTAACCAAAATTGCTTGAAGTCAAAATTTTGAAAGGTAAGTTTTTCAATGCGAATTGTTCCCGATTGTTGCAGAGCCCTTACCGGGAGCCCGCTCCTGAATATAGCGGAAGAAATCGTCAAAGATTTCAACGTAGCAACTCTCGAATCAAGGAGCGTTTTTTTTCCGCTGCTCACGAATTTTCACTGAAATTTAACCCTTGTTGGAACACATAGTTCAACTGTACTTTCACTTGGTACAATTATAATGTTATAAAATTTATGATGGAGCTGGTCTAATAGTTTTTATTGAAGATATGCTGAATTTACCCGTCGTTTTGTTGACTTAAAACTTCATTCTGAACATGAGATTTAAGCGGACTTATGATTAAAATTAAGCAACGTTGTAAAATTATGCAGTCTAACAAAGGTTAAATTCTACCTTCCGCGTTCGCACAGAGTCGAGGAACGAGGGCAACGGAACCATGCGCACTCTGCCGGGTTCCCTGCACTACCGCAACCACTACTGCTCTGCCGACCGAGGTCAGCTATCACAATCTTACTACAAGCCAGATTTATAAAGGAAAAAGTTATCAAGAAGATTTATATCACGCCTTCAACCCAACTTTGAAACTCATTAATTATTATAATTTCCAAGCTTAATGAATTAAGCTACTAGCTCATTTCAATGTCACAAGAACCACTACTGCTCTGCCGACCGAGGTCAGCAATCACAATCTTACTACAAGCCAGATTTATAAAGGAAAAAGTTATTAATAAGATTTATATCACGCCTTCAACCCAACTTTGAAACTCATTTATTATTATAATTGCCAAGCTTAATGAATTTAGCTACTAGCTCATTCCAATGACACAAGAACCACTACTGCTCTGCCGACAGAGGTCAGCAATCACACCCTTACGATAAGCCAGATTTATTAAGGAAGAAGTTATCAGTTTTATATGACACCATGAACCAAACATTGAAACTCATTAATTATAATATCCATGCTTAATGTCTTAAGTTCTTAGCTCATTCCAGTGCCCACCATGCACTACTGACCCGCTGACCGAGGCTAGCCTACAAATAATCTCACTACACGCCAGATTTTTGAGCAGGATTTATTGGTTTAACATGACACCACCGGCCGGCTTTCAAGGAGCATAAATTTTCACTAGTTCTTATCTGAGCTCGAGACACTCTTGGGATTATTATTATTTGCGCTTCTTCGGTCGATAATTTTTTCAGTTCAACATATTTTTATCGCCGGGTTTTCGCATATGGACAACTATAGAACATGCGGATTAGTACTAGCCGAGTTTTGAGTTTAATATTACACAATTGGATGGAAGTTCAAAGATGTTAAACATTATTAATTTTAAAGAATGTGTTAGATTTAAATAAGCAAAGTGCTAGAAATTATTAGGACATTTTGACCTGACTGGGTTTTCGATAATTTTTAGTGACTAGCCTAAAATGCGTTAGTAGCTAAATGTTAAAACTCATAAATTACTATTGTCGGCCTAAATCCCTTCTCAGTAATCATTTGACGAATAAAATTATTCAGGAACAAAAATGTACTTAACGGGAGACGTGTGCAGATTTGACATTTGAAGGATAACCTTTTTATGTTTGTTTTGGTGAAATACTTTACATTTATTTACTGTCAAATTATGTTCCTCTTCAAAAATCCCAAACTTACTGTGTTCCGGGGATTATTTTTTTCAATTTTCGAATAATATAATAACATACTTAGTGCCAATCCACTATATAGTAGCCAACTTATTATCCATACCTCTATATAATAACTAACTTAGTAAGAATACCACCATAAATTACGTATTGTTATTAAGTATATAATCTAAATATATATACATCATTGTATTCCAAACAAATTTCTTCAACAAGTATTGTAGCTTCAATAAAGATAAATAATTAATGCTTATTAAAATTTTCAACTATTAGTAACTGGACTTCACTGTTAATGATACCGTGGACTTTGAGAAGCGTCTAAGTTCTTTCAGAAACGTATGGATTCCCTGACATTTTTTTTCTGAGCAGTATTTATGATTCTCTGAGAAAAATTTTTTTATTCTGAAAAATACTCAACGTTGCTTAAAACGATTAGGTTCGAAAACTTGAAGCTACTTCGAAAGAAATTAAGGATCTCTGAGAAACGTTTTGATTCTCAGAGAAAGTTATACTCGTAAGCAAATCATCTAAATCAAAATTGAAAATCAAGTTACATAATCAAATTGTAATTTACTCTGCAAAATGTTCAATTAGACATCAAATGTCGTCCAAAACTATTTAAAAAATAAGATTATTATTTTTTCTATGGGAATTTGAAAATAGATTTTATTTAGGGGAGGACATAAGGGGAGGACAAAAGGGAAGGACATAAGGGGAGGAAATAAGGGGAGGACATGAGGGGAGGACAAAAGGGAAGGACATAAGGGAAGGACATAAAGGTAGGACATAAGGGGAGGACATAAGGGGAGGACATAAGGGGAGGACATAAAGGTAGGAATTATACTCGTAAGCAAATCATCTAAATCAAAATTGAAAATCAAGTTACATAATCAAATTGTAATTTACTCTGCAAAATGTTCAATTAGACATCAAGTGTCATCCAAAACTATTTGAAAAATAATATTATTTTTTCTATGTGAACTTGAAAATAGATTCTATTTAGGGGAGGACATAAGGGGAGGGCATAAGGGGAGGACATGAGGGGAGGACTTAAGGGGAGGACATAATGAGAGGACATAAGGGGAGGACATAAGGGGAGGACATAAGGGGAGGACATAAGGGGAGGACTTAAGGGGAGGACATAAGGGGAGGACATAAGGGGAGGACATAAGGGGAGGACATAAGGATAGAAAAGAGAAGAAGATAAAACTGCATGTGAACCAACTCTTCACACTTGTGCAAAGATAACCACATGAAAGCTTACTTTTTTAAGAGGTCATATAGGATCACAAAATCTAATTTTTTTAACATTGGCAAGTGAGATTGTGTGTAAAAAGTATGATAAAAGCAGAAAATTTTGCCGTCATAATCTATCGTGAGTTTCTAATCTATATAATCCCAGGGTTCCTTTACTGCCATTACGTAATGCTCTTTCACATTTTTTTAAAATTCCTTACTATCTTAACGCAGTTGTTCTTTCTTTTTGAAAACGAAATCGTACCAGAACGTAATTGAAAGTATACCAATAAAAATGCGCTACAATGGTTCCTCTATGCATTTAAATTGACCCATTGGAAATGGTACTTGAGTCGAAAAGTAAAATTGTATGCGTTTTGGAACCTATCTGGTATAAATGATGAATAGATCAGTGAATGGCCATTTGAATTAAAATTTAAAAGTTCCTATTTATTTTTGGGCAGGTTATCGACGCTCGAAAGGTGGCGCCGAATGCGAAATCTGCCTTCAGTCTTTCCGGCCACATCCAGGATACGAAGTTGCTTTGAACACCCGCCGTACCGCCCACACTCGCCACCTAGACTCGGCCGACCCTAAATTAGAAGCTGCCGACACGCAGAACAACGCCCCCCACGACCATGACCCACATGAGGGCGAACCTGACCCACTCATAAATAATAAAAACGATGTTGGGGTTATCCATGAGTACCATGAGTCATCAGAAAAGGTTGTAGATGCGGATACTAAAATATGATACTATTATTTTAAATTTCCGTTTTATGTATATTATTATGAAAATTCTGTTATTGGCAGAATGTAATTAACGGAATTCTGGAACTGAGTTATAAGAAGAGGTTGTAGATACTAATATATAATACAGGTATTTTTTATTTGAGTTTTATGAATGTTGTTATGAGAATAGGTTCAGAAAAAGAGAATTTAAGTAACAAAATTTATTCTGTGGTCCAAATTATCAAAAATTTCATCCTAACTTACTTGGCGTGAGTGGACTTCGAATGTTATATAAGCATAGGACAGCAAATTGAACGGCATTTTTTCAGGATAAATTTTATTTTCCAAGTGATAGGCGACTTCAATACAAATCGAATTAACTAAAAAATATAAACTAATTTTCATACTAACTGGATGCAAACCTCCTGTAATTAAACCATAGATGCTTACTTTTGATCTCGCTTCAGGGGCATTTTTTTAGTTGTTTTCTTGTGTTTTTCGAATGCGTGAATTAANGAACGTCATAATAAAAGTTTAATTATTACGCGTTAAATAAAAAGTAAGTAAGGGAATCAGTAAAAAATATAATGTATTAAAAGGAAGACTGCATGAAATAACATGTCCTTAATTAATATGTAACTGGATGTTAATTGAAATTTCACACAAACTGCAAACAAGGTTTTAATTGAAATTTCACACAAACTGCAAACAAGGTTTTACACTAATATCTTCTTATCGTATAACGTGTATTCAATTTTTTAGTTGAAAATTTATGTTTCTAACGTTATGTTTCAATAGTATCTTCTTTTGTAATAATATGATGCTATTATAACTAACCTTTTTATTTCTTGTTCATATTATCATCGTGTTATTTTGAAGCTCGTGCTAGTAAAATACGCTAAATGGATTGCATGTTCCATTAGTCGTGTTTAACTGAGCCACTCATGGCATGAGGAATCTGAAAAAATCTTCTTACATGCGAAAATCCTATATGTCAAGGACTATTTTCTTATTATAGTCTTTCGATAATGAGAATATATAAAATTTTTCATTCGCTCAATTCTTCATTAGTCATTAAATAAAAATATCTACGAGAAGCCGTTTGATATCATGTGTCCCATTTTTTGGGGAAACTAAAAGGGAAATTTTCTCACCCGAATTGATTTAAGAATTAAGTTTATTCATCGTTGTGAATTTTGATTGTCTCCAAAAAGTAATAAGGAAGCATAATTTAAGTTTCATGTCGCGTTGTGAATACCTTCGCGAATGCCATGAATTGTTCGACGATAGTAATAAAAATTGTGAATCGTTCCAGTTGTGTTCGGTTATTGATGAATTTAGTCGATGGCAAATACCAATAACAATTGATTAAATTTATTTTGAAGTCGTAGGCATCTAAATCAATAATTATAGGGTTAAGGTATTCAGAATAGGAATAGAAATAGAAATAAGTCAAAGTTTATCTAGCTTAAATTTTGCAGCTCAGCAAATTTTTTGAGAAATTAATTTCATACAAATTAGTATAGTGCTGAAGACTCGACCAATTTTGAAATTGAGTCTAATTATAAGCTTTCACAATTTTGTGTAATTTTATACTTAGCATGGATTCAGGAATGTATTGGATTTTTTTTTCGGAGGGGGGGAACGACAAAAAAGTGGAATCCAATCCCGAAGAGCCATATTAGAATAAAATTCCAGAGTAACAGATACAACTTATAAAATTTAGGACAACAACCCGGAGTCGCACGTGAAACTAATTTGGAAAGTTATGTGTCATTGAAATTATTTCCAGTGCAATATATAAGGGTTGGACAAAGGGAGACACCTAGCATTTTGATATCGTAATTTTTAAACATTATATAAACAATGAAAACATGACATATTTTGACATTCTAACGTTTATTATTGCTGCTAATTGATATTTTACCCTTTACCCTAAACAGATATGTTTAGTAAATTTTTGTGTCTATAACCAGACCTGTAACCAATGAATGGCTACCCTCTCTGGCTTTCAAAGAGGTCAAATTGTTGGTGCCCGTAGAGCAGGTGCATAGTGTGACAGAAACTTCCCGAATGTTTGACGTTTCTATATATTGGCACTGTCTCAAACGTAATGACTGCTTTTGAAAGAGAATGAAAAACATCCTCAGCATAGCACAGGTCTGGTCGAAGTTGTTTGAGAGAGACCGTCGGTGCCTTAATGAAATTTTTATTTTGAGGGACAATCGAAACCCCACGGCTGTTAAAATTACTGCAGACCATAATGGACACTTACAGAACCCAGTTTCCATAAAGATTGTCCGCCGAGAGCTACACAGATCTGGATTCTATGGAAGAACTGCAATAAGAAAACCTCTGGTTTCAAATACAAATGCTTCAAAGCGTTTAGAGTGGTGTAAAAACATCTAGAATTGGTCCCTCAAGGAGAGGAAAAATGTGATTTTCTTTGACGAACGTTTTTTTCTTTTACATCTGGAGACAGCCACAAGAGTTATTTAATCCCGACTGCCTCCTCTCAACCGTAAAACATGGCAGGGGATCTGAAATGATCTGGTGTGCTATTTCTTGGAAATTCGGCGAACCATCGATTTCTCTTCATGGAAGAATAAACAGCCACGACTATTTAGGAATTTTGAAGGACCAAGTTTATCCAATGATTCAAGCACTGTTTCCGGAGGGGAACGCCATCTTTCAAGATGGTAATGCTCCGATCCATACAGCTAGGATTGTTAAAAAAATAGCACGAGGAACATTCTAATGAAGCTGAGTATCTCATCAGCTGGGGCCGTATTATCAAAACTTTGTAAGTACGCAAAATCGACTTACGAGAGGCGTAAGTGCTGACTTGATGACGTGACTCTAGAGGTGGTATTATCAAAACATTTGCGTGGGAAGATACGTAACGTAACTGTACGTGCCTGCTCGGAGATGTCGTAAGTGGAGTTCCGCACAAGTTTAGAGTGTCTGCTGAAGCGATAGGAAACTATTGATTTACTAGCAAGTAGCAACACAAAGTGGTCAAATTGCCGGTGCCCGTATGGCAGGTTCTAGTGTGACAGAAACTTCCCGAATGTTTGACGTTTCTATATATTGGCACTATCTCAAAAGTAATGACTGCTTTTGAAAGAGAAGGAAAAAATCCGCAGCATAGCACAGGTCTGGTCGAAGTTGTTTGAGAGAGACCGTCGGTGCCTTAATGAAATTTTTATTTTGAGGGACAATCGAAACCCCACGGCTGTTAAAATTACTGCAGACCATAATGGACACTTACAGAACCCAGTTTCCATAAAGATTGTCCGCCGAGAGCTACACAGATCTGGATTCTATGGAAGAACTGCAATAAGAAAACCTCTGGTTTCAAATACAAAAAGCTTCAGAGCGTTTAGAGTGGTGTAAAAACATCCAGAATTGGTCCCTCAAGCGGTAGAAAAATGTGATTTTCTTTGACAAAATCATCTTTTACCTCATTTCCAATTTCTGGCCGAGTTTACGTCTGGGGACAGCCACAAGAGTCATTTAATCCCGACTGCCTCCTCTCAACAGTAAAACATATAGCGGGGAATCGGAAATGATCTGGGGTGCTATTTCTTGGAAATCCGGATAACCAATGATTTCTCTTCAAGGAAGAATTAACATCCGTGACTATTTAGGAATTTCGAAGGACCAACTTCATCCAATATTTCAAGCACTGTTTCCGGAGAGGAACCCCATCTTTCAAAATGATAATGCCCCGATCCATACAGCTGGAATTGTTAAAAAATTTGGCACGAGGAACATTCTGTAACGAAGTTGAGTATCTCATCTGGAAACAACCATCCTCAGACCTGAAAATTATCGAGCATTTAAGGCCAATTTTAGAGACGCGAGTCAGAAGTTAATTCCCACCAGAATTGTCTTTATAAGAGCTGTAGGGAGTCTTAACTGAAGAATGCGTTAAAATTCCATTGTAAATAATTAACAATTTGTATGAATCAATGCCTAGGACGATATAGAGGCTTTAATTGCCGCAAATGGTGTACCTACATCAGACTGAAACAAATTTTGTGGATTTCTCAGGTGTTTCCCTTATCTTGTCTAACCCTTGTATATCTTACCGAGCACCCTAGATTATACATGTCGCTGTAAATCTGTAAAAATTATTCATTGCGGGCCGTAGACTGCAAATTAATGTATATTATTAACTGAAACTCGACCGCCACGTCTTGCTGGCAACTGCACCGAGATTCTGGCCGTTAATCTCTTCACTTTTTTCCTGTTCCCTGTGTAAATTAGTAAAATCAATTAACCCATTGCATTACCTTAAATTAAACAATATTTAATTCGAAACATATTTCTTCTGGTGGCCGAAAAATTAGTTGTCTTTTCCAAGATAATTGGCGAACACATTAACATTGTTAATCAAAACTCAATAGAGTTTATCCAGCATCTTTGGGTCCAAAATAAGCTGGGACATATTTGCTAGTTTAACGAAAAGTGATCATAAATTTGCATTATCATTTTATTGTTGAGTTATAAAGTATCCGTTGTGTGCGGCGATATGGAACGTGAGAATTGTTGTGTGCACATGGGCAGGTTCTAAATTAATAATATTGATGGATCTGCTGCAAAATTAACATACACGAATAATATTCAATAAAAATTATTAGCAAATAGTTTTTTTGCAAATCACGGGTATTAGTAGATTTGTCGAAAAAGATATTTAGACACTGTGTGACGATATTTTGAAGTATCCAAAATGATGAGCTTAAATAAAAAATAATTATTATCGAATTGACACGAACTTTTTCGTTGCCTCTGCCTAAGCTGATGCCAATTCCAGCTTGGTGAAAATCATTAAATTTTTTAACTTTTATCCATTGACTGTAATTCTTGTTAGCAGATCTTTGGGTTCGTACAGTATTAGGGACGGATTGTGTATCCACAAACAAAAGTAGAAAGATATACTTTCCAAAATCAAAAGTTTTTGATGCTCTTCAATACGGATTTAAGTGGTTAATTAGCGTAAGCTTTTTTGACAATTATTAAGAAGTGAAGAACGGTTGGCTGAAGTGGCGCTGTTCGCGACGGCACAACTGAATTTTACATTAAAGCCATTGTAGGGATTTATTATTTATTGAAGAAAAGTGGTTACCCCGATGGCTCGAGGGAAAGCTCCATATACTTTCGAGGATACCGTACTCGACTTCATATATATTCTTACCAAAAACTCCTATCAAAAACCTAATATGGATACCTGCTCCAATGCAACGCAGATGAACGTAAATCGTTATTAAATAATTCATCTAGTAATTTTTGTTGCAATTTAAAAACAGAGTATTGGTGATTTTTGGAATTATCTTTGTATTCAACGTCTGCTCAATGTATTTGTTCAATGTTTTATGAATATTACAACCCCAACATGTGGGATGGTCGTTCAACGATATAATTTTAAGATCGTAGAAAGTGCAATGTTGGAGTCGTAATTTACGCACTGAACTGACGAGAA